AAATATTGTCGAAACACAAGCAGCTGAACTAGACGTTTGTCTAAAAAGTCTCAAACCTGGAACATTTATAATATAATTAGGAAGCAAAGACTAAGCAAACAAAATAACTAATCGTATGTTCAATTCAATGCCAATTGTTGGTGGTTGACAGTTGTCTATACCCCATGCTGCAGGTACATTTTGGTCAGTCACAAAGGTTCAACACCAAGCCCTAATTAGACGGGTCCTATTAGAAAGCCATGAAGCTCTTTGCTTGGTTTAGAAAGTCTTGCCTCATTGATGTTTGAATGCTAAGCTAAAGCTAAGCTGCAGCTAAACTAAGCTAAGCTGTATGAATGCACGCTTACTTTTCTGGAAAATAATTTTGTTTATTGTTGTTTTTCTTAAAGCAATATCGTCAGTAGGGGAATTCAATATCTCCCAACCCTATTGTAACCCTGCTCCTGGTGCTGGCTGGCGTGTCAATGATGTCATACACAGCAGGGAAATAACAAAAAATGGAAAGGCCAGTGCAATGGAAAGGAGTCTATTGCGTATTTTGAGCAGGTTTTCCCCGTGTTTAAAAAACCTGCATATATGCGCTAGTTTGGGAGGGAAAGGGGTATTACTCATGCGTGCTGTAGTGCTCTCCTGTCTATGGCTGTGGTGGCACATCAGAATCATCGCTCAGACCTTTCACTTCTCCACACAATTGTTCCTCAAAGTTTTTGTCGAGGAGCCCCAGAGCAAAGTCCATCTTCACTGAGCGTTTCAGCCAAACAAGTGTAGTTTTAGCACTTTCCTGCATATGGGAAGTAAAAGTCTTTGGAACAGCCCCTGCATATGTGGAAAGTAATTAACAAAAGTTTCAGCACACAAACTTAACGACAAATTGGCATTTGCATAGCATTCAGGCCAAGAGCAATTACAGTCCAAGTCCTAAAAAGGGTGTTTTTCTTTTTTCTCAGAATGCCAGCCAGTGATCTCCACTGAGGAGACACTGTGTGTTGGTCTGTCAGTCCGCTTCAATTGAGCTCGACAAGTGATGGAATTTTCAATCCCACTTGACGTAAAGACTCTTGAATGTCAATTTGCCATTGATCTCTCTGAGCCTCAGTCATGCCTCACAGTATGGACTGTCCTCCATCAGAAACACAGACTGGCATCCTGACCAGGCAACAGAACTCATTACACGGGCCTGATTTAATTGGTGGCTTCCTCCTTTTCAAAGCACAGAGGGCAAATTCTAAATCAGGCAAAACAGAGAACCACCAAAAAGAAAATCCAGCATTGAATCTCTTAAAAACACATGCGCACGCAATCAGGACAAAATTGCAGCAGACTTTTTCAACCGTCGCATTTTGCCAAACACCCATGAAGAGAGAATGGAAATATTCCCCCAGCAGCCATTGAAATGCACAGCTACCAGCTGTTGTCCTGTCCACCGCGTGGACATGGCTGGCTGTCAGCAGGCTGAGCCAACACTGCGCCTTGCATATCAAACAGGACATGGGCCTATATCCCCTTGGGGAGTTCACTTCCTCTGGGCCCCCACCACCACCACTGCTCCACCTCCCTCCTGAAACAAGCGGCCCCTTCAGCTGGAGGCCAGATATCCCAAGCAGCAGTGGGGGCTTCTCGGGGGTGGGGGTGGGGGTGGGGGTGGTGGGTTAGGTAAGTAAAAGGGGAAGTTTTAGCTCCAGTGCATTAGAGAATGGAAGACAGATATTGAAGGGCAATGCTTTAGAGCCAAATATAAAACCACACAAATGAATAACTTTTTGCCATGTTCAGGGCTCAATAGTTCCGTGCAACAGAACACTAGTCTGCTTCAGTTTCAGCTTTTACTGCAATGAACCACAGGTTAAAGCATGGAAACAGCCTGCAGGGTACAGTAACATAATGGAGCGTAAGCACGAATTGTTCTGGCTGATTCTTAATACACCTCAAATCACTTCCCACCACTTCAGAATCACAACGTATCCTTGGATTAAGATTAACAATCTGGATTCCCCTGAATGTTTTCAGCAGACATGTTTTATTCCAGCCAAGTAAAGAGTGTTTCCACACCAGTTAAACCTCCTCACCCCTCTGAAGGAGTGGCAGGTCATGAATGTATTTATAGTCCTCCAATGAATGAGCCTTCACCTGTGAACAACATGCTGTGCCCAATTCCATGACTTCAACAAAGAAAATACACTTCCCTCTTTCCAAAAGTGACGGAGCTGTTGAAACTGAACAGGATCTGCACCAAAAGGTTGGACATAAACTGGCTGCGTTTGAAGAGAGCATGAGCTCCCCCATTCTCATCTTCATATCTGCCTTAAACAGACGGATCGTGTAGAAATCACATCATCTTGAGGGCGAATTATAAAGTTAGCAACACACTAAATCTGCAGCCGCAACCCTTATCTAAACATCCTGATGCGGAAAGCCACTGATTATGTGTGCCACCCACATGTGGACCAGCCAGAAACCAAAAGACTTGCAGCCAAGGGCTGGCAGGAGCAGCTGGGAGAAGTGTTCCACACCCAGCACATCAACTCATTCACATAAACAATTCAATAGTCCGCTGCATTGGCTTGCTGCTGTTTACACTCAGCGCTGTCGCTCACATCCTCTCAGATAAGAACAGAGAGTGAACTTGTACTGCTAATTCGCACTCCTTCCACAAAATGCAGGCATGCTGCAAAAAGCGAAAAGTGTCTTTTGCTCAACGCTCTGTGATTCAGTGCGTCTCAGAAGGAAGCTCTCAGAAGAGCATCTGCAAGCAGGGAAGTGTGACAATATCACTTCCTGTGTCTGTCTGTATGCGAGACTGCTGCGAGCCCTTTTCAAACACCCTCATTAATATTCACAGAGCTGCCCGGTTACTCCGCTGACGGCACACAGATGATGGCATTTTCTCGTGTGCTGAACGGTAGAAGGCGGCACGACACAGTCCAGCACTCTGCCTCACATCCTCCAAGAACCTTTTCAAAGTGCCTCGGCTGTGCTGAAATGTGCTGACAAAAGGGAGCTCTGTTGCCATAAGTTAAGCAATATTCCTCAACTCCCACCCAGCATGTATTCCCTCATTAGTGCTTCTTGAAACAAGGTACTTGTGGGGGAAAAAAGGAGGAGTCAAATTAAAAAGCTGGGTAGAGGCTCAAATGAGCCTTGGGCTTAACACTTGGGTGCCCCGTCGGCACTTATAAAAATAGAAGAGGCCCCTGGAAGTGGGGGTGCTTGAGGTGTGCCCACTTGAGTCTGAATGGAAGTGTGTGCCAAGAGTGGGTATTCACCATGCATGGCAGGACTTCGGCACTCTTCGGGACTTCAATGGTCTCCCCGATTTCTCTTTCTTTGGTAGATTCCACTGAGAGAAGCCTCAGTGAAGAACTGTATGGGAGCTCCTTGTAAACACTTTTGCTTCTGCTTTCTGCGCCTCATCAACATGTCCGCTGCACAGAGGTCCACTCTGGTTTCAGTTGGACTGGAGTGGAAAGTAGGAAAGTGGGGGAGGATGAGTGCGTGGGTGCGTGTATGTCAGAGGTGGGTGGCTGGCCTCGGGTAGGTGGATGTTTGGGGGGGGGGATCCGATGTTTGCTGAATGCTCTCCTTTGTTGCGATCATATTATGTTTCCACCACAATACTTCTAAACCCTGCTCCATCAACTCCATTCATGTGTAACAGCTCATGCAAATGGCTGCACTGGCCTTTTTTTCTAGGGGAGGGGTGTGAGGGGGGGTCCTTTTATCAGTCTACCACCCAACTACTCTCTCTGCAACCTCCTGCCTGGTCTGCACGCCAAAACACAGATTATAATCCTCTAATACAGTCTGACAAAGATGGAGGAAGCATGGAGAACCAGACTCATCTGTCTAAAAGTACTTCACTTGGTCGTAAGTCTTGTATCTGATCACAGAAACCGCAGGAAACATACAGAGCCAACACCTGGCTGCATGGATGCTCCGATTCTCATTATTCTAACGTGCTACAACTGTGTTACGCAAGAAGAGAATGTGGACACAACCACTGATAGCAGCGCTGATTAAACCCACAGGAAGCCAGGCACATGACAGACAGACGAACGGTACATTTAATGTGACACATGAGGCTTCACACACACGCGCAATGAAAGAACAAGCAGAAATGTAGACTAAGGAAGAGATACCCCTTCCTCAGGGTGTGTGTCTGTGTGTGTGTGTGTGTGTGTGTGTGTGTGTGTGTGTGTGTGTGTGT